GAAATACATGTTATAGAAAGCCTTTCCAGCCCCCCTAACCATTTGTAAATTTAACTAATTTACAAAATAATCTTAGGTTAGAGCCTGATTGTTCCAGACAGGCTGAAAAAAAAACAAGAAGACCAAGAAGAGGAGCAAAAACAAGAGCACAGAGAAGAACAAGAAGAGAAGCAAGGACAAGAGCAGGAAGAAGAACAGGGAGAAGAGCAAGGAGAAGAGCAAGGAGAAGAGCCAGAGTGAGAATAAATGATCAATGCACAGTGACAGTGAACAACCTTCCAAGAAAAGAAAAAACACTCACTTAGAATAATCATTGAGAACTTAATCCCTTACAACTGCACAGAAAGCAAATAAATGTACCAGTGAAAGAATGTTTTTTTGGCCTGCCAGTTGGGGTTTTTATGCTTTTCACAAACCAGCTAGACATGACTTCCAGTTGACATTGTTTTGAAAATAGTAACGAATTTATGATCACAGTGGTAATTGTTTTAGGCGATTAACAAGCCATTGAGAAATGCTCCCTTTTTGCAACCATGGTATAAAACCGTGTCTCTAAACTGACCTATGTAGGGGTATTTTGCCTTTTTCGAGAAATGCAAGTTCCCAATAAGGCCACTGACTTGGATTGATGTTTCACGTGGCATTCTCGGATGAGTGGTAAAAGTTGAATTAAAATAAAACATTTTTTCACATTTCTGAAATTTTGGTGAGGCAAATCGTCATGTTTGAATGCAGACAGAAGTAATTAAATGTGTTGGCCTATGAATAATTGTTACAGGTATGTACTTCAGTCAGTCCAGTTCCCTTGACATCTTTATTTTATCTCAAAATTTGAAATCCTTTCAGGATAATGTTTAAATCGAGATTTCATCAAGAGACAGAAGAAAAATATTTCACATGCATGAATGAAATTACATCGCACTGAACATTAACCCTAACCCTCCTCAATCCTTCACTTGTTGGAGAACTTAACTTAGTAATGTCAGTAACAATGATTTGTATGAACTAAAAATAAACCAGTAATGTGGGAATTTCACATCAATAACAACTTTGAATCTAAGTAGATTATTTCAGTGGTTTGCTCAAAGTTTACCCATCTACAGTACATGCAAATGGTTCGAAACTTGGATAACTTAGAGTCCAATGTGAAACGGGGGTAATACCCTAGTAAAGTGTATAAAAGAAATGATCACCTGAACTACATACCAAATTTATCAATCCCTTTTGCACTTCACATTAACATGTACTTTGAAGTGAGCATACTGAATCCAGTCATATCTGTTGAGGGCACAGACAAAAAGTTGGAAA